TATGGCAGTCCTCTAGAAAATATATATATATGAGCAGAATTTATTACTAAAGACAAAAACATTACATCCGATTTTAAACTACAGCAAGATCCGAGACAATCTAATGTTTCCAACTTATCCTCGCGCGGATAATCTGGTGGTTTTACACGCGCGTTACAGATGAAGCATAGTTTCTTTTTAACAGCTTTATCCATTAAACGTGACAAGGTAAAAGTTGTGTAGATAAGATTGTAATAAAGTGTAACGGTCTCTTGACTAAACGTACACGCTCCTATAAAAGCTCATACAAAAGTAGATAATCTTAGCAAACAGATCCTACCTAAGTCTTGCACTAATACTGATATCGACAAATAGAAGCTACTGTACATTTACGCTGTTCCAGGTCAGAGTCATTAATCGCTGCTTATTCCAGACGTAAACGCTTCATAAAGTTGGTCATAAGGCAAGGTAGCCATGTCCTTGAGGGTTTCTATTTATTGCAAGTATTGTCACATGTGGATGACACTCCTACGTAACCACCAGAGCAGCGAACCATCATCACCAATTTTATTGCTACCCAAATTCAGCGTTGTCAGCGATTTAATATATTTCAAACACTAACCCAGTGCAGCAGCACCATCATCACCACTTTCATCACTATCCAAAATCAACGTTGTCGGCGATTTGTTACATTTTAAACACTCACCCAGAGCAGCAGCACCATCACCACCAATTTGATTAAGTTTTAAATCCAACTTTGTCAGAGATGTATTATTTAGCAAACACTCTCCCAGAGCAGCAGCACCATTACCACCAATTCCACTACCAACCAAACCTAACGTTGTCAGCGATGTGTTAGATTTCAAACACTCACCCAGAGCAGCAGCACCATCACCACCAATTTCATTAACTTTCAAATCCAACTTTGTCAGCGATTTGTTATATTTCAAACAATCACCCAGAGCAGCAGCACCATCATCACCAATTTCATTATAACCCAAATCCAACTTTGTCAGAGATGTGCTATATTTCAAACACTCACCCAGAGTAGCAGTACCATCATCACCAATTCCATTATCACTCAAATCCAACGTTGTCAGCGATTTGTTATATTTCAAACACTCACCCAGAGCAGCAGCACCATCATAACCAATTATACTACGTTTCAAATCTAACGTTGTCAGCGATTTGTTATGTTTCAAACACTCACCCAGAGCAGCAGCACCATCATCACGAATTTCATTATAATTCAAATCCAACGTTGTCAGCGATTTGTTATATTTCAAACACTCACCCAGAGCAGCAGCACCATCATCACCAATTCGATTATCACTCAAATCCAACGTTGTCAGCGATTTGTTACATTTCAAACACTCACCCAGAGCAGCAGCACCATCATCACCAATTCCATTATCACTCAAATCCAACGTTTTCAGCGATTTTTTATGTTTCAAACACTCACCCAGAGCAGCAGCACCATCATCACGAATTTCATTATCACTCAAATCCAACGTTGTCAGCGATTTGTTACATTTCAAACACTCACCCAGAGCAGCAGCACCATCATCACCAATTCGATTATCACTCAAATCCAACGTTGTCAGCGATTTGTTATATTTCAAACACTCACCCAGAGCAGCAGCACCATCATCACCAATTCCATTATCACTCAAATCCAACGTTGTCAGCGATTTGTTATTTTTCAAACACTCACCCAGAGCAGCAGCACCATCATCACCAATTTTAGTTAATTTCAAATTCAACGTTGTCAGCGATTTGTTATATTTCAAACACTCACCCCAGAGCAGCAGCACCATCATCACCAATTAAAATAAATTTCAAATTCAACGTTGTCAGCGATTTGTTAGATTTCAAACACTCACCCAGAGCAGCAGTACCATCATCACCAATTCCATTATCACTCAAATCCAACGTTGTCAGCGATTTGTTATATTTCAAACACTCACCCAGAGCAGCAGCACCATCATCACCAATTTCATTATCACTCAAATCCAACGTTGTCAGCGATTTGTTATATTTCAAACACTCACCCAGAGCAACAGCACCATCATCACCAATTCGATTATCACTCAAATCCAACGTTGTCAGCGATTTGTTACATTTCAAACACTCACCCAGAGCAGTAGCACCATCATCACCAATTCGATTATCACTCAAATCCAACGTCGTCAGCGATTTGTTATATTTCAAACACTCTGCCAGAGCGGCAATCCCATCTTGCAAAGATTCATCCAATGTTAAGTTTCTCACAGTTGTATTTGTTTTCAGAAAGTTGCTTAAAAAGACAGCTAGAGTTTCATCCACTTTTACACTTGAAACTTTAACAGTTTCAGTTTGAAGAGAAGCGCCAAGAGCGGTAGCCAATTTTTCATCAACATTTTTTTTTTCTTTTTTGCATTCATTAACACACTCTAATATAACGTCCACGTCTTCCTCTTCTTCCTGGTTTAACTGTGTTGCTATGCTTTCCAGAAGTTTCACCACTGTTTCCTCGCATCTTGCTGCTAGCATACCAAATGTAAACAGAAGCACTTCTTTCAGTTGATGGCGATATTTTTTTTGTCAGCAGCTATGCTGTTCGTACTGATTTCTTTCTGGATAAACTGACAACTGAGATAGAACGCTGCGAAGAATTCTTGGAAAGTCTTGTGAAGAAAGCTGTAACGTCTAGTTGGACTTAATTTACTGCCTCCAGGCTGAACTGACAGAAATCCAAATCCAGGTAAATCGCTTGCTTTGTGTTTTCCAAGCTCCTTCTCGTCAAAATCCAAGTTGTCTTCAAGTAAACCTTTCAAAGCTATCGAACCAAGGTGTTTCAACTGGCTTTCGTAAAGGTCAACAAGGTCTTCACCGATCTCTGGTAGTTGCTGCTTTGTTCTGTACCTCCTTAGTACACACTCCACCATTTCCATGTACAGCTTCGTTCTGCTTTCAGGAAATACACCTTTCAAATCTTCATAGACCAGGCAAAGAAGCGCAGTGTTGAGAGGATTCGTCAATACTTCATATAACTTGCGATCAATATACAGGTGTGCGATAAGCTGCTTGGCCAAGTTTGGTTCGGCTTTGAAGTACTTTCTGATGAAGGATTGTACATCTTCTTTAGTAAATCCCTTAACTTCTAACAGAGTGTCGCAGTATTTTCGAACTTTGACTCCAGCTTCGTGTCGTGCCGTAGCAACCACGCGACAGTTTGGCAGTACTCGCCCTTGAATAATTTCTGAAAACATAGGTAGCTTCTTCTCAGAAACTTCATCCAATCCATCGAGTACCAGAAGAACATTAGACTGATTGTGGCGAATGAAGTCGAAGAATCTCTCACGTTGGTCTTCACCAACTTCTCGAGGCAGAAGTTGATCTTCAATGGCCTCCCAAAGGCCAGACTGAACATCACGACATTTGATCAAAAGCACTATTACGATGTTTGCGAAGCAATTTCCGGTTGCGTGTTTTCCTGAGGCCCAGTCGAAAACAACTTTTTTACAGTAAGTGGTCTTTCCCATACCAGGCTTCCCTTCAATTAACACTACTCTTGGTTCTTCACATTCTTCGTGCTGGTTGAAGATTTCAGACATCGTGACAACTCGGTCTGTTGCTGTTCCTTTCGTTTTCTTTCTGTAGATGACTGGTCTGGTGTAGATATCGTCAAAGGAGAAGTGAAAACCTTCACACCAGGGAAACGGTGCCAGCCAACCTTCCCGATTTTTGTAGAGTTGACGAATATTATCAATAATTCCAGTTGGGTCAAATCCATCTGAAAAAGAATTAGTTGTTAGTTTTATGAGGCATTCTTACCGACACGCTTTATGACGCCATGACTCTCGGAAAAATAAACAATTATACGATGACACTGAGAATGATATCGTGAAATATCACCACTTAGGTCTGAGTTATCTGACGAAGCCGAAGGCTGAAGCAGATATTATTGACACGAAGTTTGATAATTCATAATAACATGAAAAAAAAAAAAAACCAGAATCAAACAGATGTTTTTTTCATTTTGAAAACAACTGAAAAATAAAACATTTCTCTCTGAGGGTGCAAAATTTTGAGAACACTACACGGTCGAGGGGCTTGGAAACTAGGCAGACTCTGAACTCAACATGATCAATATCCGCTGCATTTAATGGGTTATGAAGTCAATCTCTTACGCTATTGTGTATCAATTAAGTGGTGATCTCTGTAAGAGTGGTCCAAGGCCTTTCACATCAGAGAAAAGTTTTGCCTCAAACTTTGCCCATTAAATTATCTTTGGTAGTAAGTAAATAAAACCACGTCGGTTTCTGGAAATACGTTCAAAAAATTTTTTGAGAGCTCTCAATAGTCAGAGCTGCAAAAAGCCCTTTTTTGACCTCTTGCGACATCAAGAATTTCAAAAGTTGACAAGCTTGCTCCTCGTAACACACCGCATGCAGCAAGAAATCGTTTGTGTTCCTAAATTTTGTGATATATAAGGGGTTTAGAAGGCATTCAATTTTGATATGTGTTCATTCAGAGGTTAGCCATAATTTATTTAAAAACACTCGTTAGCCGATTTTTTTTTAAATCGGTCAAAGGTACTCTTTCTTTCTTGGGTGATATTTCTCAAGTCCAGACCAGACCATAGAAAACTGCGGTGGATTTCTTCTAATAAGATGTTCGAAATTATAGAAATGTAAAAACATCTTTCACTTATTCATTTTCTCCGTCTTAGTGACTTCAAACTTTTGGTGATTTTGCTAACGCGACAGTAGAATTATGCATAAATCTTAGATTTCAACAATTTTAAAAAGAAAAGATAGCAGGGTAGAGCATTAAGAACACACAAATTGATTTTCTAAACATTTTAAACGGTTAAATTCTGACAAATGATTCTGTATCGTGACGAAAAAGGTGAACAAAACGTATCAAATATCATATTGATTAGCGTTCGGTCAACGTGTTAATGAGGAATCTTTTTTAAAAAAATTGGTTTCTGTTCTTTCACATTTGAGTTTAGAGGGTTTAAGCTATTCAAACCTGTGTGAGCAAAAAATCACGTCATCGCTGCCTTTTTTAGACGGGAAAAGTACACATACATTTACATACATTTACAGAACACATCCCCATCTGGGGCTTTCCAATGAAGAAATTGGATTACAAATTAAAATACGCTCAATATAATACGAATTATATATCTTTAAATAAAATATGGTCAGTTTAAAAATTCATTCAAAACGTGATTTTTTAGAGCTCTCTTAAAGGAAGCGAAACTCTTACATAATTTATGGCTTGAATCTAACTTGTTCCAGATAGATACACTTTTACAATAAAACGTTTTCTGTCCTGTTGCAGTTTTAAAAGGAGGAATGTTTAGTCGTTGAAAGTTTCTGGTTATACTTTCAGATACGCTGCCTCTTGTTATATACAGAAATGTTAGGTATTCCGGGGCTTAATCCGTCATACATTTGAATGTTAAAGTAGCATCTCCGCAATACAGTTGTGTTTTTACAGGGAGCCAACGTAAGTTTTTTAATACAAGAGAGATATGGTTATATTTCTTTACGTTGCAGATAGTTCGCGCGGCAAAGTTTTGAACGTATAGCAATTTACGAATATTACAGGCTGAGGTGGATGATCATACTGATGAACAGTAACATAGTTTACTGAAAACAAGCGCATTTATTATGATTTTAAGCAGTTATTTATCGAAAACGAATCTAATACGGCTTATTTGAGATAATTTCGACATGCAAGACGATACAAATATCAAAAGATAGCGTGGGATTAGAAATTACTCAAAGGTCTTTGACTGATTGAGCCGGGTTAATGTCTTTTCCTAGTGGGGATAATTTAAAGTCCAGTAATTTCGAAGACATTCCTCGGCTGCCAAAAACCATTAGTTTCGTCTTATCTGGATTAAGCGTTAAACAATTGTCGAAACACCACTGAATTGCGAATCTGTTGCAAGTCGGAATTAACACTTTGAGTGATCCAAGCAGAGTCGTTCACCGTAAAAGACAATAGGAGCTTAGTCATCCACGTAGCAAGCAGTTGAACAATTTTGACAAACATTTGGTAGATCGTTTACATAAATACTAATTATCAACTGTCATATGATAATTTCTGATTTTAAAATTGATAAGGAAGTTATCAGGGCGAAACAGGTCCATGTGAGAGATCTTTGCAAAGTCTTTACGAAAAATCCTAAAAAATTTATTAGCCCGCTTCCTTTCCCGGCGTCATGTTAACTATATGCAAGATTTTGGTCAAAAAATCAGCCTGGCAGATGAGATAACTCCCCAACTTGCCTCTTTGGCTCAGTTGGTAAAATTGAAGTATATTCAGTCGCGAAATCCAAAAGTTTGAGGCTTGGATCCTCTACAATGCCAGTGACTGTTATTTATTACCATTCTGTCATAAATAAAGCCATGATACCCACAGGTAAGCGATAATTTTAAAAGTTACAGGAAGAAACCTGTGAAAAGGTTCAGGCTTCGATGAAATTTGAACCCGTGCTTCCGACTGAAATGGAAAAAACTGCAACTTCCCATAATTACATTTCTAATCATTTTCCAGATGCAACACTACTTTGTTCGCACATTGTCCAAAAACAAGAGTCCTGGGAAATTCCTCGAAGAAACTTAATGAAGGTTTTCACTTCACTAATTCGAAATAACCTAAGGGGCGGTACGCTAAGCTTATTTTCTTTGTAGAAACAATGCATGTCTTAAAGAAGACAACGGTAAATCGTTAACACAAGGTCCACAAATAGTCCTAGCCAAATGTTAGAGCAACATATAACAGGAACAATTTAAAACATATAAAAAGAAGAAACTCAAAAATTGCCTTAAAAGCGGCACTGGTAAAGCTGATTTTACCTCTATGATCGAAGGCCTAGACCTATTTAAGGCTAACTCAGACAAACCTCCTTTATTCAGGTAACGGTTTTGAACTTTTTAAGACCAGAAACTGTGATGATTAGATAATCAAGAGAATACACATCGCTTTCAACTGATGGTCTACCTGTTCCGTCTACATGCTTCGGCACATTGCAACTATTCTTGATAGTTGAAGACAACACTCTTGCCAAAATTGACTATAACAGGGGAGAAGCTAGGCTTCACGTTTCTCTAAAACAACGTTAGTGCATTTTAGTTTGATGTAAGCAAATCCACATCTACGAATATGAATATCGTGACTGCCGTGCAAGGAGGGTAAAGAAGAGCATAAAAATAACTCTCAGGTATAGACTACCCAAGAGGGTATAGAAGAGATTAAAAATTAATCCTCAGTTATACACTTCACAAGAGGGTATGCAAGAGATTAAAATAACCCTCAGGTATACACCACCAAAGAGGGTATAGAAGAGATAAAAGTAACCTTTTGGTATACACTACCCAAGAGGGTACAGAAGAGATTAAAAGTAACCCTCAGGTATACACTACCCAAGAGGGTACAGAAGAGATTAAAAGTAACCCTCAGTTATACACTACCCAAGAGGGTATAGAAGAGATTAAAAATAACCCTCAGGTATACACTACCAAAGAGGGTATAGAAGAGATTAAAAATCAATCCTCAGGTATACACTTCACAAGAGGGTATGCAAGAGATTAAAATAACCCTCAGGTATACACTTCACAAGAGGGTATGCAAGAGATTAAAATAACCCTCAGGTATACACTACCCAAGAGGGTATAGAAGAGATTAAAAGTAACCCTTAGATATACACTACCCAAGAGGGTATAGAAGAGATTAAAAGTAACCCTCAGGTATAAACTACCCAAAAGGGTATAGAAGAGATTAAAAGTAACCCTCAGGTATACACTACCCAAGAGGGTATAGAAGAGATTAAAAGTAACCCTTAGATATACACTACCCAGGAGGGTATAGAAGAGATTAAAAGTAACCCTCAGGTATACACTACTCAGGAGGGTATACAAGAGATTAAAAATCAATCCTCAGGTATACACCTCACAAGAGGGTATGCAAGAGATTAAAAGTAACCCTCAGGTATACACTACCCAAGAGGGTATAAAAGAGATTAAAAGTAACCCTTAGGTATACACTTCCCAGAAGGGTATAGAAGAGATTAAAAGTAACCCTCAGGTATACACTACCCAAGAGGGTATAGAAGAGATTAAAAGTAACCCTTAGATATACACTACCCAAGAGGGTATAGAAGAGATTAAAAGTAACCCTCAGGTATAAACTACCCAAAAGGGTATAGAAGAGATTAAAAGTAACCCTCAGGTATACACTACCCAAGAGGGTATAGAAGAGTTAAAAGTAAGCCTTAGATATACACTACCCAAGAGGGTATAACAGAGATTAAAAGTAACCCTCAGGTATACACTACCCAAGAGGGTATAGAAGAGATTAAAAGTAACCCTTAGATATACACTACCCAGGAGGGTATAGAAGAGATTAAAAGTAACCTTCAGGTATACACTACCCAAGAGGGTATAGAAGAGAGTAAAAGTAACCCTCAGGTATACACTACCCAAGAGGGTATAGAAGAGATTAAAAGTATCCCTTAGATATACACTACCCAGGAGAGTATAGAAGAGATTAAAAGTAACCCTTAGATATACACTACCCAAGAGGGTATAGAAGAGATTAAAAGTAACCTTCAGGTATACACTTACCAGAAGGGTATAGAAGAGATTAAAAGTAACCTTAAGGTATATACTACCCAAGAGGGTATAGAAGAGATTAAAAGTAACCTTCAGGTATACACTACCCAAGAGGGTATAGAAGAGATAAAAGTAACCCTAAGGTATACACTATCCAAGAGGGTATAGAAGAGATAAAAGTAACCCTAAGGTATACACTACCCAAAAGGGTATAGAAGAGATAAAAGTTACCCTCAGGTTTACACTACCCAGGAGGGTATAGAAGAGATAAAAGTAACCCTCAGGTATACACTACCCGAAAGGGTATAGAAGAGATTTAAAGTAACCCTCAGGTATACACTACCCAAGAGGGTATAGAAGAGATTAAAAGTAACCCTTAGATATACACTACCCAAGAAGGTATAGAAGAGATTAAAAGTAACTCTCAGGTATACACTACCCAAGAGGGTATAGAAGAGATTAAAATAACCCTCAGGTATACACTACTCAAGAGGGTATAGAAGAGATTAAAAGTAACCCCTATACCCTTAGGGTATAGGAGATATTAAAAATTAACCCTCAGGTAGGAAACGAAAAAATTGAACTAACACTAATTAATATCAGGAGACCGTTCTTTGTCGGGACTCTTTCTTTTGACTGAAAGCTGAGGTATCCACCGTTAACTTATATAATCATTATCCTTTACAAGTACGCGAATGTCGTTGTTAAGCTCGGCCATTCTTGACTGACATCTCTGCAATTCCCCATGATTATTCGACTAGAGGCATTTCCCGCCTTAAGTGCACGGTCGAGAGCAATTTGATTTAACAGGATTATTGTCGAAAACGTGAAAGAATGTACCACGCTTCCTTATAAAGTCACGGTTTATTCACTTGATTTAACGACGCGATTCTATTTCAACGCTTTAGTTAACTCCCACTCACAACTGCTAGTGTAAATATACGTTCGATCGTACATGCTGCAATCTGATTGGCTTAGCTACTCACTATTTATTCCCTGACAGATAGAAAGGAATGTAAACAGCACAGGGGATGGCCCATTTGTATTAATATTCAATAAAAACACGAGCCTGCCTTTCTTCCAAGTCTTGAATGACTTTTAGATTAAATTAAACTTTAAATTAAACTCTCAGTTTCATGCGTGATAGTTGACTCAAGCTTCGCCCTCAAAATCCAACTGGTGCCCGTATTCCAATTGTTAGTTAGCAGTACGCACCTTGCTGCTTTGTTTCTCTTTGTTGTGCTACCAAATCGTCCAACCTCTGACTCATGTTTCCAACATCAATTTTGATTTGATCAAGGTAATTTTTGACTTCCCCTAAGGATGAACATTTCAATATTATTAGCGGAATAGAAGCCTCAACTAATAGCCACTCCATTTAAAATAGATCGCGTGTGAAAAACAATAAACTTTTCAAAAATAACTTAATGTCATTGCTAATGAGCGACAGTAATTCCCAGCTCTGCTGTGCAACATGTCAAATGGTTTTGGCAGAGGTTTAGGTAACTATTTCCATAATCGGGTGACGATGGTCTAATAGGCGGCTGTACCCGGAAAAGAGCTGTAAGGCAGAACCCAAACACGACAGCCTCGCCGGTTACACGAACGGCGATGAGAGGTCTTACTGCAAATCCTTCTAAAGAGCACCTTTTTGCACTCAAAAGACACAAGTCTACTTTCAATGAAAATTAAGCATTATTCATTGCCCATCTTTAGACTTTTCTTTCAAGTTTTTGTCTAAACTGTGTATTGAAAACAAACAGTACCTCTCTACTGTATTGTCCGTAATTTCCGTGGGATCGTATGCCAAATTGTGTTAGTATATTTGGCTAATTCATTTTTTGCAGTGTGAGCCACGTTAGTTTACAAACTTTGAGTCGGTTATTTAAACGAGGTCTAACCCAAACCACGGTTTTACATAATAAGCCTTAGGCGTTCCCTAGGAGAGGGTTGATTTATGTAAATAAATGTCCTTCCGCAGTTAGCTTCAGGCTCTCTTGACACTTTTCACAAAAATGACTTTTCAGACAACAGGTTCGGCTAAATTGAAGATAGTTTAGGACGTGGTTTTGTTAAACAACGGTCAAACTTTGTGTAAATGACCGGGCCTTTATGTTTCGTTCTACGAGGTTATATAGGTTTAATCTGTTTTCACGTTGTTCACTCAAAAAATGCAACATTCTTACGGTGAACACCCTCTTAATAATAACTCTCCCGAAGCTCCGCATTTCAATAGATGAATCGCCCTTAAATTCATAGCTGCTGTAGGGACTAACCTTGATGCTGTGTTTCCTCTTGTCGGGCCATCATTAAACTTGACAACTTGTCTTGTATGTTTCCAATTTCACTTCTCATCTGATCAATGTCATTTGTCATTTTTTCTAAATTTCAAAACACATATTTGTCTGAAATAAGTCCAGGTTTCTTTTTCCCTTTACTTTAAAAGAAATAGCTGAAACAAGTTTTTTTATTCGTATTTCATGCGTATATGAAACAACCAACAATAGAAAACCAAAAACTTTCATTCATTCCTTTTAATTTATTTGGGAGTATTAGTACCATTGATACTTTTTTTTTCGTTTTTATTGTTTCTTGCTATTGTTTTTCTTTCTTTTGGGGGAGGGGTTGTGGTACATTTTCATCAACCATTAAAATAATCAAACCACATACAGCAATATGCACCTCACTGCGCTTTGACAGTTGATAGGTTAGAAAATTTTAAAGCACCTCCCATACTTCTTAATTGTAAAAGGTTAATTTTAATTGCAAAAGTGACGTAATAAATGGTATTAAGAATTCACCCTGATCTTGTGCTTCATGTTGTCGTGCCATTAAAGTGTCCAGCTTGTCATTTAGATTTCCAACTTCAGTTCTCATCCAGTCAAAGTCGTTCGTCACTTTATCTGAGGATAACAACATTTTTACGGTTTCGTAAGTTAGAACTTCCTTTCGAAATTGGGTCTAAATCCTCTTTGAAAGGATGAAATGTCTTCTCAGGTACAAATAACGCGCAAACAAGCGTTAAAAGCTAACAAAGATATGTGCTAAAGATCGATTAATCTCATGCAAAAACATAATTTAGTTTTTGATCAGAGGTTAGGCGAGAGAGATGGAGTTTCATCCACGTCATCGTATCCAATTTTTCCACAATATTTCCTACTTCGCATCTCAGCTGATTAAGATCTTTTTTAATGTTCCATGTGCTGGCTGAGAGTGAAAAATCACGTTAGTTTTCCTGGAACAGTCTTACCTTTTTTTTTTATAACATAACATTTAAAAACCCTTTCACTTCCACGAACTCATTGGTAACTATCTAGAGTTTTTTCTCTCTCTTTTGCTTTTATTGTTTTGTTTTGTTTTGTTTTTCCTACGCTCGTGACAAGATGAAAAACATCTTTCTCTATTTCTTTAGCCGAGCTCAATATTTACGATCTTTCTTATTCTATTTAAAAACAGGCTGCTATCGACATTGCTGATCCTAGTAGCATGCAGGACGCGTGTCATATAGGAACTGCGTGATGAGCCTAGCTAACCATAGCGTCTGTGGCTCAGTGATACAGCAGTGGAGCGCGGAATCCGAAGGTCTGAGGTTCGATTCCTCATGGGGAATCAGAATATTTCTTTCTCCAGACAAAATTTTTCTCTTTATCTAAACCTGTTTTTGAGAATCTGTGATTTAACCAAGCGATAACTCCCTCTAGAGATTTTTTTTTCTTAATCTTCAGAACCTGTCTGTTTACCATTGTATCGTGATTGGTTCTATTTTTGCTTCTGATCAGATGACGATTTGCTCGAGTATTCTTGGCCAATGTGGATTATTGCCACTGTAGATTACCAGTGGGTAACATTAAAAAGTCGTAACTGAAACATAACTACACCAATAAAAATCTAAATGCCCGAGGCTGATTTTGTCATTCCCCCGACACCTTTTGCTTTGTTAAGGTTACATTCTTAGGTACGAATTATTTGCACCTTCAATTTCTTGGAGCTTTTCTTTAACATTGTCTTCATCATTCTTCCACTGTTTCAGCAGCTGGCTGTAGTGTTCTTCAGTATCAGGGTCCATACACTCATTCTGAAGGTTACTAATAGCAGCTCCATAACCTGCTCCTACCAGTCCCACTATGGCATTGCTAATCTCCTGCCAGTAGTTGTTGAATGCAACATCGTCCACAGAGGCTTGGCTGGCATGGCCATGCACAGTATTACGGTAGTATTTCAGCCTGGCGATGTTGGCCTGCTTACTGAAATCTGTAGACGGGGGAAGACTGTCCCATCCAGTGCTGGGAGGAGCTATCCCACAGATGTTCCTCAGTAAAACCATCAGTAGTGTGATATCAAACCCTGCCGATGAAACAGATGATGGAATAGCTGGATACAGTTTCCCCCATTGCGTTGCATTCAAGACCCTCTTGCTCTTTAGAGACTTAAGTGTTGCATGCTCTGGGTGACGCCTCAAAACTTTATGAAGTCCTACTGGAGGGTGAATGGCATCAAAAGTGTTTCTCAAGGCTTGGGATCCAACATCCACCAGAAGGCGACAGAGTCGAGCATAGTTGGTTGTCTCCTTGGTAGAAGGAAACGCTGGTGTAGCAGCTGATGCCATGTGCCCTAGTGAAGATCAATTTATCCCTACAATGTGAGATTTTTCGTAGTGAAACTTTTTAGGCAGCCGGGGGGGGGGAGCAACTAAAGTGATGAGGTTTTTGCCTGAATCACGGAGCAATCTCTCGTGAATTATAAAAAGAATCAGTGAAAAAAATTAATTTAGCATGCTACAAGGAACTCTGGTAGTCTACTTTTTTGGGCACCTTAGAACTAAACTTCTACGCAGCACTCTTAAATCAATTTTTTTTCACTGATTTTTTTCCATTTGCACAAATTGCAGAACTAAAAGGCAGAGACTTTTAGTGGTATAAAAGTACAAAGGACAATGGTTGTAGCCTAACTGGAGGGACTTTGTGTTTGAATGCAGGGCAGGCTATCAACCATTGATCTGGTGTGCTTAGAACACTTAATCATTTAAATCATTCATTAAATTGTTTGCTGTTTTCGAAATGTTTTGGATGCTATCACTGACTACAATTAAGCTCCACTTCTGATCCTCCATCACCCGAGAAGAGAGAACCAGTGACCTACATTCTACTTTATCATAAAATGTGAAACAATTAATGTTTATGTCAAATTACCTGAAAAGTTTGTGAAGACTTAAACTAATTTTCAATATTTATAAAAATCTCATGATAAGTGCATGTGTTTGTGGTCTTGAATCAATCCAGCTTTTTTACTACACATAAGAGTTATGTAGGATTAATACTTATTATCAAGTTCATTACTTTGATTTGTTTTTGGGTAAATCATAATAATTCCTTACTCGACAAAAATTTCCTTTACAGAAAGAACTGGCCACAAAGACTAAAAAGCATCCAGGAGGGAAGCTGAATGGTGGTTCAATTTCTTTCAAAAATCAACAAATTAAACGCAATGAATAAGGGGCAAGTTTCTAAAGAAATTGTAGTGCTACTTTGAAGGGGGGGAGCTCTATCAACTAAAATGTATTATATATATAGTAAGTTATTTTTACTTAGTACAGTGTCGATATGTAAAAGAAGAGCGCGATATATCTGGACCCCTAAAGAATATAACATTGTCCAATTTATTTCATGGTGCATCCTTTCTTCAACATCACCCCACAATGGTGCTAGCAGAAGATGCAACCTCTGCCTCAAAGAAAAATTACTTATCATTTGCCAACATGAATTATCATCACTCAATAAAAATAATGAACTCGTGTCCTCATGCCGCCACAGAAACAAAGCATTACTGCGAAACAACTGATGAACAAAGCATTTACATTTACCGCCACGCCTATTATGCAAATTAGTAAAGTATATAAATGATGGTTGCGAATATTCTTGACAATAGAATCCCCAGATGAGTGAGTAATCATGAAACAGGCTTGTACTGGGATGAAATTATAGTCTCTTTGTTGTTTTCCCTCTCTCAATATATGTATAAAATAAATTGAACAATTAATCTCAGTTGAAAATTAAAGTATATACTGAAGGGCATGTTAATTGCCACAGTATGCAATTAACACATGTAATATACCAATTCTCCAGATCCACAAATTCTTTTGTAATCAAAATCAGGACAAAGTAATTTTTCCGCCTGATTTTAGAGGAAGTACTAGCATCATCTTTATAATAACGATTATAGTTTAATGGAGGTACATGTAATATTAGGTGTATCAAAGTAGTGCAGTAAAAGGATTATTAGTGACTTCAATTATACACCTCCATAAATATTCTTCAAAGTTACAGTCTTAACATATTCAAGAAAAAAACAATCCCTTTCTTCCAGTCCAATAAATGGTTAAAAAAAACCACAATTATTCGATAGAGAATTAAATAAAAAAGCAAAAAAAACAATCAAACAAGCAAAAAAGCAATAGGCCCATATACTGCATGTATCTGAGAGCTAGATTATGGTAGTAATAATTTAGTACTCGTTTAAAAATTGATCCTCTTTCAGTTTTTATCAAGTAAACTAAACTAACAACAGAAAAGAGCACCACAGTAAGTTTTGCAACTCTTGGAAAATCTTCTTAACTGACACAATTTAATTGCCATCCCGTTTCTACTTAACACTTCAAATCTCACATTTAGTCTTCTTGAGTTTCTCAAGTGACTAGTCTTCTCACTTGTACATGACCTGCACACAACTTATGTTTCTTCCTAGAATGAACAGATCAATAACTAATATAGCCAAAAATATCCTTGTGCTTGAGGTCATTGTTCTATTATTATTCAATCCTCGACATTGTAGAGGGGTGAAAAGGCTTTTTTCATGATGCGGGAATAAGTGTTTTTAATTTTTGCGACCTGTAAAAATATGAAAGTAAAACCCCATGAACTGTGAACTTTTTTGCTTTTCATAATACGTGAACCTAAACGTTGACTCATTATTTTGTGATGCAATTAATCTAAACTTTTTGATGTGCATGTAACCTGTGCAACACCCCCCTTCACCCCCTGTTCAAACATATCAAGCTTAAATAAGCCAACAATTCTTATCAACCATGATATAACTATCAATCAGTCTTAGCATATCTGTTCATTTGAAATACAGTGTTCTTACTGTAGTGTTTAGACATTTCGTTACTGTTATATAGAGACATTGGTCCCAAAAAAGAAAAAAAGAAAAGAAAGAAACCTGTTGAGTTTACCTGCACTTATCTGGGTATTAACAGACCATCATTACATTTGGCGACGAGGATGATTTTCCAAGTGTTCCAAAATTAAATTCGTGATATAATTTTTATCGAGAAGGAAATCATGCCCGCGATTGGAACACCCGTTGAACAAGAAAGCAACCCAAGTGCACCATCGTCCACCAACTCAGGTGGGGCGAGTGCAAAACAGATCCTGGAGGTCCGTGACCTTCCTTGCTTTGACCCCAAGGGAGAGCCGAACTCGTTGTCTGTTCGATGGAAACGATGGAAACGTACTTTTAACCTGTATGTGGCCTCGAAAGGAGTAACCAATGAAGGGCAGAAAGTAGCGTTGCTGTTACATTCAGGAGATACTGAGTTACAAGAAATTTATTACACTCGGGTGTCTGAAGATCAAGATACTTCATTTAACGATTGCGTTGCAGTCCTGGATAACTATTTTACACCGAAAGTTAATGTTCCATTTTAGCGACATGTTTTCCGCCAAATGCAACAGATGGAAGGGGAAACTATCGATCAATTTGTGTGCCGTATGCGCCAGAATCCTGTGAGTTTCCCAGCGTGGATGAAGCCATCCGTGATCAGATCATCGAAAAATGCAGAGATCCAAAACTTCGTTGAAAATTGCTTGAGAAACAAGTGAAGCAACCTTGACTGTGCTGCGAGAGACTGCAAGAGTCCATGAAGCTGTTAACACTCAAATGCAGTCTATGGAAAGACCTGAGCAGGTGGACAAACTGTCTCCGAATGATCGACAAGCAAAGAAAAAGGGGACAAAAGGAAAGAAACCTGGAAAAGAAAGGAAATGCTACCGGTGTGGTGGAACTGGTCATCTTCCACAGGACAAGAGCTGTTCAGCATTAAACAAGACTTGTAATAAATGTGGTAAAAGTGGTCACTTTGCGGCTTGTTGCAAGAAAAATTCAATCAAGAAACCTAGTGGAAGAGACCGTTCAGAAGGAGCTAGAAGGAACTTTGAGAGTGAAATTCATTGTGAAGAGTCAGGAGAAAAGGGTGTGGATGAGTTTACTGTTGTTGAAGGTCATGGTAAATCTCTGCTGGGAAAGGATTCAGCTGAGAAGCTGAATGTGTTGAGAGTTGGACCTCTGAACCCACCACAAGCATACTCAATCACAAGTGAAGGAACTTCTGTGGACATTGTTAAGAACTTTGCTGATGTTTTTTCTGGAGTGGGTAAATTGAAAAATTTTCAGCTTAAGTTGCATGTGAACAAAGATATTAAGCCTGTTGCACAGCCTGTCAGAGGGTTACCCTTTGGTTTAAGAGACAAAGTCGACAAGAAACTAGGTGAATTGCTGAAAGAAGACATCATCGAGGAAGTGCCTAGTGGTCCAAAAGAGTGGGTCTCACCTCTGGTGGTAGTACCAAAACCTGACGGAGACAAACGGGTCTGAGTGGATATGAGAAGAACCAACGAGGCAATCGAAATATAAAGGCACCCTATTCCCACTTTTGAAGAGGTTCTACATGACGTAGATTGGTCAACAGCGTTCAGTAAATTAGACTTGCAGTGGGGCTTCCACCAGGTGGAACTTGAAACTGAATCGCGTCGTATTACAACCTTCATTACACAGCGAAGTCTTTTTCAATACAAGAGGTTAATGTTTGGACCTCAACTCCTGAGAAATATCAGAAAATTGTCAAAGATGTGTTAATTGGCTGTAAAGGAGTAGCAAATATTGCTGACTACCTGATCATCCATGGATGTGGAATCGAGGAGCATGATGAAAATCTGCTAGCTGTTCTGCGCCGTCTCAGAGAACGTGGATTGACTCTTAATAAGAAGTGTCAGTTCAGACTTCTAAAATTAACATTCTCTGGACATGACTTGAGCAGTAAAGGAATCGCTCCTAGTGAAGAGAAGGTGTCTGCAGTTGCCAAGTTCTTGCCAGATTTTTCCCAAGTTGCCGAACCGCTCAGAATGCTGACGAGAAAAGACCAACAGTTTATATGGGAAGATGCTCAACAGAGATCTTTCCAGAAACTGAAAGATCTGCTAACCCGAGCAGAAACACTTGCTTACTTCAAGAACGAATGCAGGACACGCATTGTTGCTGATGCTGGTCCCACAGGCATAGGAGCTGTCCTCACTCAGCTACAAGATGGCCTGTGGAGAGTAATTTCCCATGCATCAAGAAATCTTACCGATGTCGAAAGGAGATATTCCCAGACAGAAAAAGAAGGTCTTGCCTTAGTATGGGCGTGTGAGAGATTCAAGCTGTATGTTTTCGGTCGAGAGGTTGAGTTGGAGACTGACCATAAGCCTTCGCAGTGCATTTACAACAAGTCTTCAAAGCCATGTGCACGAATAGAACGATCGGTCCAACACGGTATGGATACCCATTCAGCCTTAAGTCTGACAATGCACCGCAGTTTGTGTCAGAGGAGTTTGAAAACTTCCTGGCTACACATGGCATCCAGCACCAGAACTTTCCAATCATTTGGCCTCAGGCTAATGACGAAGTAGAGCAACAGAACAGAACTTTGCTAAAATCACTCAAGGTAGCTGAAGTAGAAGGGAAGAAATGGAAAGATGAATTGGATGAATTCTTGCTGGCCTATAGAACCACCCCTTACAGTAGCACAGGGACAACCCCAGCATTTCTTATGTTTTGAAGAGAATTGAAGAAAAAGCTTCCAGAACTGCGTCCAAACAAAAGTGCTCTGGATGAGAGCTCGAGAGATCGTGACTGGAATCAAAAGCTTGCAGGCGAAAGGTATGGTGACAAACAACGGCAAGCTGTCGACAACCAAATGACACATGGAGACAAGATTCTTCTCAAGAACACCAAGCAATCTGGAAAGTTAGCTGCTAACTTCGAGCCCAATCCTTACACTGTTCAGACAAAGGAAGGGCAAGAACTAACCTTGAAATTGACTGACGGTACAGTGCAGCCGAGAAACTGTTCATACAGAACCCCACAGGAACCAGACAACTCTACGGGAGCTGAAACTCTAGAGGGTCGTGTAACTCTATTACTACTGTTGGCCCCAGCCTCTGACCAGGTAACAGTGAAATCCTTGTCAACTTCTACTTCTGTGTTTGTGATGGTTGCTTTCTCAGGTAAACCTGTTCAAAATGATGCTGCTTTTAAACTTTGTCTCTGATAAATGTGAAATACTTATTTTAACTACATAAAACACGAATACACGTCAGTTTAATCATTTCAACAAGTAATATGAATGCAACGGGTCTTAACATGTCAGATCCAAAAAAAATTATAAGCTCGAAATGCACGTTTTATATTTTATATATTTAGAACCACCCCATAGCTTCAAATTCCAAATCTGCCCTTATTTGATGCTTCAGTGATTATTATTTTTGGATGCAGCCTGGTAATAGACTCATCCTAGTTATCTCTTCCATTTTCAACTCTGGGAGGTAAAAGATACTTCTCGGCCAGCACATTTTATCGATTCATGAGCAGTTGTACTGGGCTTCTGTGAAGGCCTTGAGTAGAAGTTGTGCGGTAGTCAAGGAGAGCCAGTAAAGCATCAGAAGCATCCTTCGTTGCTTCTTTTTATCAAGCTCTAGGCTGCTTCAACTTTATTTCAACTTTCCCACTGTTATTAGGGGGTTATTAACTTTATTAGGTATTAGGGGAAAGTTGTGACTCATTGTTATTTCTATTTCTTGCCGAAAAGGGGTCAATGGAACATTGACAAGCGCCAGTTGTTGCTTTTCTTTCACCGCACTTGGTCTCTCAGCAATGAATTTAATCATAGAAACCAAACAGTACCAATTAGACTCTCTCCCAGATAGGTTGTTTAGAATTATGAAGTGTAATATACTAACAATTAAAATTTTTAATTCCATACAATGATCACTGAATTGTTCGTTTTCAGAGGCATGCATTTCCAAATTGTTGGCTGGCAATCAATACCAACTGAATAAAATTAAACATATTGATATAATAAGAAAGGTTAAAAAAAAATTGATGAACTACTCTTTCCAGCATCAAAAATTATTAACAAGTCCTATCAACGTAATTTACGACCAAATCAAAGGTGAAGATAGTAAAAAATGTTTGGCAAAGAATTATTTTTTCTTATATGAGAGCTGCAGCATAAATATTCAACCTGTTGTCGCAAAGTTTCACAATTCTTAGCCCTATGAAAAGTTGTGTTACTCCTGTATTTAGGACCCAACAGCATTTATTTTATTTCATTTCAATAATTCTACCAAAAGTAAAGTGAGAAGTCTTAAATAAAGGTACATACCACTCTTTGTCTTAAATGTTCTAACATCTGGCTCACTGTCTCCTTGTTCGTTGACAGCGAACAGTTTCATTTCGTACTCTGTGTCATACTCAAGACCAGTTATTGTGTGGCGAGTTTCAACAATATTTCCTTGTTGAAAGATTTTTGTGGATCCTGTCATGAATTGTTTCCAACATTCCAGACGGTATTTAATGCTGCAAGTACTGTTGTTGGCCTCAGCCTCTGACCAGGTAACAATGAGATCCTTGTCAACTTCTATTTCTGTATTTGTGATGGATGGTTTCTCAGGTAAACCTGTTCAAAATGATGCTTCTTTTTTAAACTTTGTCTCTAAAACTGTGAAACACTTATTCTAACTAATACTTAACAATATTGGTATAATAAGAAAGGTTAATAAAACATTGATGAACAACTCTTTCTAGCCTTAAAAATTAGTAACAAGTCTCATGAATGTAATTTACGACCAAATCAAAGATTACGATAGTAAACAAGTGTTGGGCAAATGATTAATTTTTCTTGTATGAAAGCTGCAGCATGAGTATTAAACCTTTTGTCGCAAAGTTTCACAATTATTCGCCTCATGAAAAGCAGTGTTACTCCTGTATTTAGGACCCAACAGTGTTTCTTTTATTTCATTTGACACAATTCTACCGAAAGTAAAGTGAGAAGTCTTAAATAAAGGTACATACCACTCTTTGTCTTAAATGTTCTAACATCTGGCTCACTGTCTCCTTGTTCGTTGACAGCGAACAGTTTCATTTCGTACTCTGTGTCATACTCAAGACCAGTTATTGTGTGGCGAGTTTCAACAATATTTCCTTGTTGAAAGATTTTTGTGGATCCTGTCATGAATTGTTTCCAACATTCCAGACGGTATTTAATGCTGCAAGTACTGTTGTTGGCCTCAGCCTCTGACCAGGTAACAATGAGATCCTTGTCAACTTCTATTTCTGTATTTGTGATGGATGGTTTCTCAGGTAAACCTGTTCAAAATGATGCTTCTTTTAAACTTTGTCTCTAAAAACTGTGAAACACTTATTCTAACTAATACTTAACAATATTGGTATAATAAGAAAGGTTAATAAAACATTGATGAACAACTCTTTCTAGCCTTAAAAATTAGTAACAAGTCTCATGAATGTAATTTACGACCAAATCAAAGATTACGATAGTAAACAAGTGTTGGGCAAATGATTAATTTTTCTTGTATGAAAGCTGCAGCATGAGTATTAAACCTTTTGTCGCAAAGTTTCACAATTATTCGCCTCATGAAAAGCAGTGTTACTCCTGTATTTAGGACCCAACAGTGTTTCTTTTATTTCATTTGACACAATTCTACCGAAAGTAAAGTGAGAAGTCTTGAATAAAGGTACATACCACTCTTTGTCTTAAATATTCTGACATCTGGCCCTTGCGTCCTTTTGATATTGAGATATGCACATGTTGATTTGATGCTTCGGTGGCAGCATTTCAAGACAGAAAACCTTAGTTTTCCGAAACAATGCAGAACAAAACAAGCTGACTGCGTTGAATAACAATGGCAAAATCTCTCAAGAAACACGCTTTAGCACGCCATTTTTTTTTTTTTGCGCAGAACGTGAAAAAAGTGCGAAGGTTTTGCTTGTGCGTTGGCCAACTACCTCTGAGCTATACTGTAACTTCAGAGCACTTCGCAGCATTCTTTGATAAGAGTTAAACAATAACAAAAAGAAAACTCAACCAACATGAAGAACCATGTTTCAATTATGTTAACTTGAAAAATAAGTTCAAACTGAGCATCCTGTTCACCTGTCCATCCCCTTGATTCTTCTAGTTCTCTTCCATGGCCAGTGGTGGGTACTACAGTGAGGGGTGAAGTACGTTAAGGTGAAAAATGCAAAGAGAGATTGGCATTAACAGCCTCTCTTCAATTGTTTTGTTCCCATAAGTGGAACTGTGTACAATTATATTAATTTATTGATGCCACATTATTGCACTAAGATAATTCCTTGAAGATTTATGACAAATATGTTACAACTGTTCACAACAACTTCCCATAATAAATTAGAAAAATATTTTAATTTCCTTTTCACCTTCCAATTTTGCTGTCTCCATAATCTTTGTCTCCTGTTCACTTTTTCCCCGTTGTTCTTTTTTTTCCAGACTTTCACTGGTTGAACTTGTGGGGTGGAATTCAGAGAATGAAGCACCTAAAATCAGATTTACAAGAAGACAAACACTTTAAACCATAAACACACCTCAAACTATTCTTGAAAACACCCAACACAGAAACTAGTGAAATAATTATCTTTTATATCCCCTCCAACAGAAATCTTGCTAATTAATCTTTGAGTGATGTATGTAATCTAACATATTAAGGAAAGACAAATACAACCCCATGGAAAGGAAAACATCGAGCCAGATGTCTTAGTAGGAAAGATAACAGGTTACTGAGGGGAGATGTTTGAGAAACACAAAACATCAAATGAAATGTCTCGCAAACAAATTACTTCTTGCATTGGCATGGTTTGCATGCTGTAGTTGGCATGAGCTAATTCATGAGACAAGTTCCATCAATCTTGATAAAAAACTGGACTCATCCCTTGATGACATGTACTCTACCATACTCCATGTTGAAAGACTGATGGATTTCATTCAAAAACCTTTACAAATATTTCATGATAGGACCAGGCCTTGTTACTTTTTGCCTACCAACCTCTATGTGCATCTTTCTCGAAGCACAATTTGCATGCATTGTACTCTTCTATGTCCATTGTTGTCTTCAGCCTCAGCTCAGCCAGGTTCAGTTCCTTCAAGATCTGTTCAGTTACAAAACAATTTTGAACCACTTCACCCAGACGACCAGACGAATAATCTGTCCACAACTCCTCCAAGCTCTTTAGAGATTCACACTTCACTGTAATCACCAAACTTCCTTCAGAGACACCAGTAATGATGAATCTCATTTCTCTTGCATATTTCTTAAAGCTATCGAACTCTTCAGCGGACTCTGGCTTTGTGATGTTGAAATACTTTAGAACAATTGATAGAAAGAGTTTCTCTTTACTAGTGCGGAGATCTTCTGTTTGTGGACAAGACACACCTCCAGATGCAGCTGATGTAGCAGATGGCCTAGGCTTCTGAACCTTTTGGCATCTGACAGATGCTGTTGCTGGCATACCAGTCTGCTTATTCTGCTCTTCAAGTTTCAAGTCATCCACCTTGACCTTCATTTTCAATTCACCATCTGTCAAATTGTAATAGTCAAATTCAATCCTAATATAACAAGGTTCTTTTACTTATTACCTATATAACCATCGAAATGCGAGAGCATGATATTGAAGTAACACCAATCGAACAGAGAACTTGTTAGCAATGAATAGATTACCACATACAGTATATCTATTAAGCACTTCAGTTTCAATTTCTTTTGCACCTTTATCTTATTCCATAGTAGAATCAAAATTCTGATTGATCTAAAAAGATTACAGTTTCAAACATGGAAATATCTCCACAGATTTAGCTTGGGTGACACACAGGCTTGTCTAGCATGCAAGAGTTATTATTTTGGTTGGGTGGGTTGGAATGGGACACTTTGTGAACCTAACGTTTTCATATTTGTAACAGAAAAAGAGGCTCAGAATAACTTTCAAACAAAAAAATATTGCATTACTTCACACTAAGAGAAAGAAAATAAAAACCTAATTTATCTGAGCTCACACAGGTATTTTGTGGTCTTTTGTTTCTATTGTTCAAATACTTCTAAGCAAAAGTGAAAGGCACCAGTGCCACCCTTAATGTTGTCTCCTTTGCAGCTGTTGTTTGGTCATGTCACACAACACCTTCAACTCCTCGTTTGAGAGAGAGAGCGCGTTGCCTGACGAGACCAACTTGTGGTTGCAAATGAGACTAAGCTTACTGTCATTCCTCTAACAGAGAGAAACTCAAAATAATTTGTCCACAATTAGTTGCCCCAAAAATAAGAGTTCCACCTAATTTACCACAAAAGGCTAACTGAAATTTTGTTGTATCACCAATAAACCCTCACTGAAGATATATTGCAATTTTGAATAAGTGAACTTCAAGATACATTGAACAAGAGAGAAGGATAATAATTCAAAGGGGGCTTCTAGATTGGTTGTTGCCTTTCAGGACTTTGCCCTCTGTGTGTGAGATACATGAAAAAATGCAGATTGTATACAAGGAATTGACATGCATTTGGGTTAAGTCAAAACATGGGAGAACTGCATGGAAAGTTCACTGTCGGTCCCATTCGGTTCCATGTGAATTTTTTCAGAGGGGTTAGAATAAGTGATAAAATGCAGGTTGTTTACAAGGAAATGACATGTGATGGAGCAAAGTCTGCTCTGGCAAAATGGAATTTGATTGGTGGAATACCATTCAAGTATGTGAAAAATTACACAATGTTAATGTAGTCCAATGATTGGGTATGTTCTGATGGGACTTTGGAAGTTGTTTTCATGGTACATGATGGAATGTAAGCTGTTCGATGTGTGCGTTGTGAGTAAAGAAGAGGAAAAACATGTTTTACCTTTAAAATGATTTAAAAAGTTAAATGCAAACCATTCATATCCTGAAAAACTCAATCTTACTCGATGAGGCTCTTACGAAGGCCACAAATCATTACACTTATCAAATGAGCCCAAAATTTCTTGTTAATACAGTCCTTTGTGCTCAGCCCCCTGATTCCATTATATCAATTGCAAGAAAATAATACCCAAACACTGTGATTGGCGCAAGATAACCAGATGCTGTGATATGATTGGTGTGAGTTACATACCCTAGTGTGGCAATCTTATTGGTGTGAGATAATCATAGCCTTATGCGGCAATCTGATTGGTGTGAGATACATACCCAAGTGCTGTGATCTGATTAGTGTAAGCAACATACCACTCTGCACACTAACGTAGAGTTAATTTTTTTGATGGGAGAAAAAAAACTCACTTGGAACACTTGTAGTCCACCCACAATTACAGGTAACTGTAACAACTCAGGACGTACAGGTGCACTTTACCCGTGCTTATCTACATGTATCAGTATTCAGTTTATCTCATGTGGCTCAGTCTACACATACAGTACCGCTCGTGTATATGTTAACCAAAAAACACGAATTAAACGCGCATGACCTTGAAACATTGGCCTCATTAGTATGTAAGAGGTAGTCCTTTTGTTTTTCTATTGTTGGCAGTTTATTGTTTTATAGAATAGAATGTTTACAATGTAATAGCACTAAAACACTACACAGCTACCAACGACTAGCAAACTTGTTCGTTGCAATTTCTGTTCCATTGCGAACTGAATTCCCAGTTTTCTGTGAATTCCTAGGAATTCTCAAAAATTCCCAACTATGCAAATAAGCTCTGATTTGAAAAGCTTGGAATTACTGGGAATTTCTGGGAAAGGAAGACTCCAGTTTTGTGAGGACTTGGAATTCCTAAGAATTCCTTGGAATTCTATGCTAATAAGTTCAGATTTGAAAAGCTTGGAATTACTGGGAAAGTCTGGGAAAGGACAACTCCAGTTTTGTGAGGACTTGGAACTCCTGGGAATGCCTTGGAATTCTCAGTTATACAAACTACCTATAATTTAAGAAGGGTGGAATTTTTGGGAATTTCTGGGAATTGAATTTGAGGCAATTTAAATACCCTGAGGTCCAAATAAATTTCAAGAAATTCTCAATACCTTGAATGTGAATGTTTTAGGACAAGGAGTAATTTTAGAGGCTTAAAACTTTGGCTCAATAAAAGGTATGCTATACAAAATTTACC